TATGTCACGGCACACTAGTGTGCCGCGGCACAGTGGTTGAAAAACACTGATATACTGTGTGTGCTTTTTTAAAAAAACACTTGGGATACAGACTATGCAGCTACCTTCTTATCGTTTTTTTAATTTTTCGTAATTACTTTTTATGACAGACTTCCTTGTAATATGGAATAGCATTTTTATTTACAGTCACCCAAATAGCAAAAAACAGTAAAATCAAAATTAAAACAGACGAATCACTAAAGGAAAAGAGAAAGTTAGCTAACTTATCTCTATTGCATCCCTGCTATGAAGAACAAAAGCTTACTCACTTATCAGAGTAACCAGGCATTCTGGGTTAAACATCAATTTAATGAGTAACTAAAAATAGTCACCCAGATCTGAGCCTCTGTCCTCGTGATGCTCAAATCCAGTCTTAAAGCTACATTAGACTCACATTTGTGCACTTGCAAAATTGCTCTCAAAATCATTGAGGTTTCCGTGCTGAAATTCAGTTGGAATACGGGTTATTTGCACAATATATAATAATTGTACCATTATTTCTGCCTCAAATAGTTTCAATGTGACAAGGATATAATGTCCTCCTTTGGAGCAAAAAAGGGTTAAAGCAGCCACAGACGCTATCTGTGCCACTTGGGTTATATAATCTAAATGTACGTTTCTCCACCCACATGAGCCTAACATTATCCTTAAGTCATTAGGAATAGTATATTATGTAAGTTGTTTGTTGAAGCATAAAATACCAAATCATTAAAGGAGATTTCTACTACTGTTTTAAATAGTTCACTAAAGCACAGTCATGTATTTACAAAACAGATGGAACATTTTGTTTTATTTCAAAAGCAATTCAGTTGCATTTTACTGTATGCTTTATGCATACTGTATGCTACAGATATGCTTTTTAGATAAAGAATCAACATTGACTGAAAATTATGTCACGTCATACTTCTATAGTTTTCAATGATTCTACTATTGTTGTATTGTTTGATTCTTTGCATATTAACTGATGCTTTATCAACATTTGTGTAATATTAAAAATAATGATTTGAAGTTTGTATTTTTTTTGTTAATGTTGTTAACACTATTACTGCATGTTTCTTTAATAAAATATAATAATGACACCCCCCCAAAGTAATTTGAATTCAAGATAAAGAAACCTGATGCACACTTTCAGGATCCCCCCCGCCCCCAACATCATCCCCCCCCCAAGCATTACCATGCTCTTAAAATGCTTACTAGCAGATAGAAAAGGGGTAGGAAAGAGAGATGGAAGGAGAGATTGAGATTCCAATTAGATCAGTGTTTCTCAACCTTGGCCACTTGAAGATGTCTGGACTTCAACTCCCAGAATTCCCCAGCCAGCGAATGCTGGCTGGGGAATTCTGGGATTTGAAGTCCAGACATCTTCAAGTGACCAAGGTTGAGAAACACTGAATTAAATAATCTCTTTTTCCTTTTCACTTCTAATCTAATACTTCTAAAAGTATTTCAGTGGTGTCTTTGTCTGGCAACAGGAAGAATTGATTGTATCTAAAACAAACTCTGCACTCCTTAGAGCTCCACTATACTGAACCATTTTTATAAGAATATGTCTTTTACTAGAAATGCAGCTGGACAAGAAAAGAATGGCCAATAAACTGGGGTAGAGAAATGCATTATCAGACTTAATTTTGAGCTGACCTGCATATAAATAATTTTTAAGGTGAATGAAAAGAGAATTTGCTAAGCTAAAATAAAAAGGACTCGATTTGGTAATAATAGGATAATAATAAAAGGAAAGAAATGACTGGATTATTATATATTTCAGGAAGATTTAGCATCTGCTTAAGCAGCTCTATAAAGATAAACATCAGTTTATTATTTTTTATTCTTTGGGATATCAATTTATGTAGCTTCCAACCTCACAATTGTAACTTTGGATAGTGCATGCAGAGTTAATACCAGAGAAACAGACATAAACACATAAAATGGCCAAAAACAAACTCAAGTCCAATCATTAAAAAGACACACTTACAGAGACAGGCAAGACATATGCCTGAGGGAGCATCAAAAGTTTTTAAGGATTTCTGAAAAGCTAATTTATCTGAACTTTTACAATAATGGTTATATGTCAATCTGGCATTGAGAGAAACGGGAATGTCTTCTCGTTCCCTTACTTTTAAAAATGTATATTAATTATATTTTCTTCGTGGTTTGCTGCAGGATATTTCTTTCTTCCATTGCATTTGGTTTTGCTGTGTTCTAGTGAGTTAAGTCCGTGACCCGTCAAAACCGCGCTCGACTAAGCCGCGCCCGATTAAACCGCGTCGCTGACGTCATCAACAGGGTGACAACAGCCAGCGTGGGGAAAGAAGGGCGCTTTAAATAGCGCTTTGAAAGCAAGCCGATTCAACTTAAGGTAAGGGTTAGGTTTAGGGTTAGGTTAAGGGTTAGGGTTAGGATTAGGTTTAGGGTTAGGTTTAGGGGGGTTAGGTGTAGGGGTTAATTTTAGGTTTAGCGTTTACAGCGTGCTTCTGTCTCTGCGCTGTTGTCGCCCTGTTGATGACGTCAGCTACGCGGTTTCGTCGAGCGCAGTTTAGTCTAGCGCGGTTTTGTGGTGGAACCGTTAAGTCACTTGTTGCTGATAAAAGTTGTATTGAAAAAAAATACAATTTAAGGATTTTACTTTAAAAAAGCATAAGTACTGCAAGGCATAACAGAATAACAGAGTTGGGGGTCTTCTAGTCCAACCCCCTGAAGAAAAATATTGTTCTCAATTATGTTAAACAATGAAACAACATTTTTTGGACAGTGGCCAAAGTGGTCTGACTCAGGTGTTGGTTCAGAGCAATGAAAACCATTTAATATTGAGGCATTTGTTTTTATCAGGCATGTCAATATAGATTATATTAAGTGGTTGCAGCAAAGATACTGGGGATAGGTTTTATACTTCTTCTACCTGAAGAGTTATTTTAAAAGGTAGTTCTAGATAATTTCCAGAATCTGTATGAGGATATTAGAATTCTGCTATATAGCACTTTTGAGATAAATGCTTCCTTCAGAAAATAATAATTTAGCATTTTTATTTATGTATTGAGCCACACATCTCCCCAAAGTGACTTTATGTGGCACATGAGGGTTAAAACCACCACAACTGTTAACAAAAAACAAGCAATTTAATCAGAGCAATTCTAATAATCATTTAGAAACAGATCCTCAAGAAGCTGAGGAAGTTAAGTCAATGATGGGCTTTCTGATTCATAGTTTGATTTATTGCTTATGTTACATAATTTTACAACCTGTGCTTATCCATCTTCTCAATTAACTCTATTTTTGTTTGCCTTCTCTCCCCTTCTTGTCTTATGCAGTATTAGAGACTGGCCATTATTTGTGATTTCAGTCTAAAAGCAATGAAATACTGCTTTGACAGGCCATTTTAGGGGGGGGTACTGTTATTCTGGAAGATCCATTAAACATGAGGCTATAGCATTTACATCAATTTATGTCATTTATAGGATTAAAAGATAAAGGTTCCCCTCGCACATATGTGCTAGTCATTTCCGACTCTAGGGGACGGTGCTCATCTCCGTTTCAAAGCACAAGAGCCAGCGCTGTCCGAAGACGTCTCCGTGGTCATGTGGCTGGCATGACTAAACACCGAAGGTGCATGGAACGCTGTTACTTTCCCACCAAAGGTGGTTCCTATTTTTCTACTTGCATTTTTACATGCTTTCGAACTGCTAGGTTGGCAGAAGCTGGGACAAGTAATGGGAGCTCACTCTATTATATGGCGTTAGGGTTTCAAACTACCAACTTTTCTGATCGACAAGCTCAGCATCTTAGCCACTGAGCCATCGCATCCCTGCATAAATGATCCATAAATGATGCATCATTTATCATTTGCATAAATGATGCAAACTGATGCAATTGACAGAAACCAATGCAGATGTTGTAAAAGCAAGGTAAAAATCACATAAATGTCACTGCCTCATCCAAACCTATTGCAACTCAGAGTCTCCTAAGAGGGTGGGGGGCTGTTAAATTGAGGTTTCCTTGTATGAATGATAATAACAGCAACAGAAAATGAGACCTCTCACTATGTGGTGAGTCTCGAAGGGAATCCACAGAATCTCTGTACTGCATCATTGGCCTCCTCTGTTCCTCAATGGAGTATGATGCTTCCCGCCGAGCATGAGCTTCCATACAGGTAGGACTGTTGCATTTGCTGGTTCCCACAGAAGACAACATCATCCCAGATTGACAATCAGAAGTGAGGCTTTCTGTGCGGTCCAAGCTCCAGGTGTGGCTTTCATGTCTGCAAGCCAAATGATAAATAATTATTGGAGAAGGATAGAAATAAATCCTTCCTAAACCTAACTACTTGCTTAAGTGGACTCATCTTTCCAAGTAAAGTTCATAAGGCATACTTGTAAGGTATGGGTGGATAAAATTATGAGTGCATACTTATAAAGGAATAAGGCAATCTGTCACCTGTTGGGTCATTGTTTCAGAGATATTTCCTTAACAGATTTTTCAATGCCTTCAACAATGGCAGAGCTTTTAATGTACTGCCTTCACTGAAAAAGATCTTAAAAATTCACGAAGATATTCTGAAAGGTATCTTCCATGAAAATAGCACATCACAATCAAACATCAGGAGTTGACCACAGGAAATGTTTTGTGACATTAGGTCATAAAATGTTTTATCATAATTCTTATATCATAAAATGTTTTATAAATTTTGCCAAATTTTATAGGTCCTGGATTTTGAACACATTTCGTAAGTTGTCCTTGATTCAAAAATTCTTGCTCAATGATGCACTGTTTCACCCAGTTACAAACATGAGACTTTTAGTAATTTAGTAGTAGATTTGTAAAACAATTTTAATCTTACATTATAATTAATGTCTAAAATGAAGAAAGTGTACATTATATGGCAATCAAAGATAAGCTAAAATTTTCAGAGGTCATTATTCTCTTGAACCAGAAACCTAGTACTTGAAATTTGACAACTGGACAAGGTAAAAATTGATTCTCCATGCCCTCACTATGGCTAAAAGATTGATACTTAGCATTGGAAAGCTAAATCTATAGCCCCTTTCGTTCAATTGATTGAAGTGGCTTTAGCACTTGCCACCTATTTTAGCAAGCTGCTTATAGATGTAGACTCTGTATGGCCAAATATAATTTATTTATGATATTGTTATCACACATTTCTTACTTTATACATAGTATAATGAAGTATATGGTTCCCTTCATGGATTACTGCCTTGTCATGGTGAAGGGGCTTGAGGCTATGAGCTATGCCGTGCAGAGCCACCCAAGGCAGACAGGTCATAGCAGAGAGGTCTGACAAAACGTGATTAGGAAGGAGAAGGAAATGTCAAACCCATTCCAGTATCTTTGCCATGAAAACCCCATGGACAGTACCAAAAGGCAAAAAGATATGACGCTGGAAGATGAGCCCCTCAGGTTGGAAGGTGTCCAATATGCTACTGAGGAAGAGCAGAGGGCTAGTACTAGCGCCAGAAAGAGGGAAGCAGCTGGACCAAAGCTGATTGCAGCATAGAAATTCTCCCCGGGGTGAAACTCCCCAAGCCACAGATTTACTTGATGACCCCACGTGAATTGGAGGAGTTACATAACTTCATTGATAAAAACCTAAAGAAAGATGGCTCTCTTCGCTTATGTGTGAACTATAAAAATCTTAATGCCATTTGCATGGAAAATGTGTACCCTCTAGCCTAACCTTCATGAAGGACATGTTAGCTCATCTGGCCAAGGGAAAATTTTTCACCAAGTTTGATTTAAGGGAAGCATACTACAAAGTCCGTATAAAAGCAGGAGGTTAGTAGAAAACCACCTTCAACTGCCCTCTGGGTTGCTTCCAATTTAGAGTACTCCCATTCGGTCTGCAGGGGGCGCCATCAATTTTTATGCAGTTGATAAATGAGGTGCTGCAGGAACACTAGTATAAGGGGGTGTTAGTTTATCTTGATGACATCCTCATCTACACAGAAACTTTAGAGGAGCATGTGAAACTCGTGCGATCAAACTCAGAGCTGCTGAACTTTATGCCAAATTGTCTAAGTGTGAATTCCATCAGGAAAAAAATTGACTATTTGGGGTACCGCATTTCTCATGAGGGTATTGAAATGGACCCAGAGAAAGTCTGGGCTGTTTTGGAATGGGTGCTTCCCCCCCACACCTATAAGCAGCCAGAAAGTTTTTTAGGATTTGCCAATTTTTACTGCCAGTTCATCCCTTTGTTTGCTAGTATTGCTTTGCCAATTACGAATTTCCTAAAATCAAATGGGGAAGCAAAGGCAAGACCTAGTGAACTCCTGAAGTGGACAATGAAACACCAAGCAGTATTTGAGAAACTGAAAGACCTTTTTGCAGCTGAACCAGTTTTAAAACACCCCGACATGGACGCACCATTTGTGGTCCAAGCGGATGCAAGTGACGTGGTGATATGGCCAGTGCTACTTCAAATGAATGCTGATGGGAACCTTCAACCTTGCACCTAGACCTCCCGAAAATTGACTGAGACAGAAAGGAGATGAGCCATTTGGGAAAAGGAAGCTTTTGTAGTCCGGTGGGCCCTACTAACCTGGCAGCATTTCCTCGAAGGTGCCAAGCACCCATTTGAGGTGTGGACTGATCATAAGAACCTTGAAGCGCTAAAAAACCCATGGAAAATGTCACCCAAACAAGTTCGCTGAGCACAGCATTTTAATCAGTTCAATTTTACGCTGAAATACCTCCCAGGAGGAAAGAATTTTATGGCAGATGCTTTATCCAGGCTACCCCAGTATAACAGTGCCAGATCGGAGGTGATTCATCTGGTTATGCCTTCCAAGCAGCTAGCAGTCCCAGTAGTCACTAGAAGCCAAGGGGAAGCTCCATAGAGCTAACAAAATGACTGAGGAGTGGGTGGCATACAAATCTTATTAAAGTTGCAAAGTTGCTAGCATCTGATGAATGGTTCAAGTCCCACTCAAATGATTGCACCATGCAGGATGGTCTTGCATGGGTGGAAACCAGGTTGTATGTGCCTGCGAGCCTAAAATGTGTTGTCCTCTAACAAGCCTATGATTCAAAACCGGCTGGACACTTTGGATTTGTGAAGACTTTACATTTGGTTAAAAAGCAGCTTTGGTGGCCTTCTCTGAAAAAGACATTGCTAGTTGTCCTGTTTGTGCTACGACAAAGAGACCACCAGAAAAACCTCAAGGACTACTCCAAAACATTGTCCCTTGGTGGCCCTTGGAAGGAGATATCTTTGGACTTTATTGTTAAGCTGCCAGAAAGTAATGGAAATACCGTTATTTGGGTGATCACGGATTTGTTCTCCAACAACTGCATTTCGTGTCCTGCTCCAAGATTCCATCAGCAAAAACATTGGCTAAACTGTTCATCCTTCAAGTGTATAGGTTACACAGTATTCCTGAACACATTATCTCAGAGGGATTCAATTCACCTCCCACTTTTGGAAGGAGTTCCGAAAATTGTTAGGCTTCACCAAAGGTCTAAGCTCCACCTACCATCTACATACAAATGGGGCTTGTGAATGGGCTAACTTGGTTCTAGAGCAGTACCTCAGGTGCTATGTCAATTATCAGCAGGATAATTGGGCCGATTTCCTGCCTTATGCAGAGGTCGCGTATAATAATTCCGTACATAGCAGTACAGGATTGACCCCATTCAAAGTAGTATTTGGCCAGGATTTTGTGCCTATCCCTGAATTGCCCCAGGAGAAGCTGAAAAACCTTTCCTTGTCTGAGTGGATTAATCAGCTAGAAGTTATCCGGCCTGTAACTTGTAAAGCATTAGATGAAGCTCACCAAGCACATTAAAAAAAGCTGATAAAAAAGGGTGAAGCCAAAAGAATACCAGGTTGGGGATAGGGTTTTCTTGTCCATTAAGTATCTTCAAACTACCCAAAATCGAAGAAACTTGGACCTAAATACATGGGTGCTTTCCCCATTGTCAGAACTGTTAACCCGGTAACGGTACAGTTGGAACTGCCAAAGACCCTTTAGGAGAATCCATCCCATGATCCATTTAGCTTACTGAAACCAGAACATACCTCCTTAATTCGCCTGGCCTATGCCCCTCCTCCTATCCCTCTCCTCATTGAGGAAGAACAGCATTTTGAAGTCAAGGAGATCCTTGATTCCAGGAAACATAGAGGGAAAATACAGTATTTAGTGGCTTGGAAACATTTTCCTCCTTCCCATTCTGAGTGGGTGAATAAGTCCAATGTCAGGGCCCCTAAACTCTTGCAGAAGTTTCATTCTAAATACCCCAATAAACCCTAAATGTGTTTATAAATGTTCTTGTTATTACTGTTTTTCTGTTTTTCTTTCCCTCCAGGGATAACATCTTTTCTGCAGGAGGGCCGAATGTCAGCCTCTATATCGTTTGCTTGCTATCAGCTGCCATATAATGGGGAGGGAGGGGGTTCATTCTATTTGGGAGCGGAATAGTGCTGGTGGAGATATCTTGAAAGAGGAAGTTTTGTTCTCACCATTTTCTGCACATGCTGAAGGCTCATGTTTGGGTTTGGTCAAGGTCAACCATCTCTGCATACACCTCACATGACACCTTGGAGGTTGGAGATTGGACACTTGGGCCAGGGTAACTTGGGGGGAGGGATTTGGGTAAACGTTTAATATGTACAACCCTAACCCTGACACACAGTCAATAAAAATAAGACCAGGAACTGACTGTGGCTCAGATCATGAGCTTCTTGTTGCAAAATTTAGGCTTAAATTGAAGAAAGTAGGGAAAAGCACTAGGCCAGTCAGGTATGAACTAAATCATATCCCTGATGAATATACAATAGAGGTGACAAATAGATTTAAGGAATTAGATCTTTTCTACAGAATGCCTGAAGAACTATGGAAGGAGGTTCGCAACACTGTACAAGAGGTAGCAACTAAAACGATCCCAAAGAAAAAGAAATGCAAGAAAGCAAAATGGCTGTCTGAGGAAGCTTTGCAAATAGCTGAGGAAGGAAGGGAAGCGAAAGGCAAGGGAGGAAGAGAAAGATACACCCAACTGAATGCAGAATTCCAGAGATGATAATGCCTTCTTAAATGAACAGTGCAAAGAAATAGAAGAAAACAATAGACATGGGGGGACCAGAAATCTCTTCAAGAAAATTGGAGATATGAAGGGAACATTTCATGCAAAGATGGGCATAATAAAGGACCAAAATGGCAGGGACTTAACAGAGGCAGAAGAGATTAAGAAGAGGTGGCAAAATTGCACAGAAGAACTATACAAGAATGAACTTAACATCCCTGATAACCATGGTGGTCACTGACCTTGAGCCAGACATCTTAGTGATTGGGAACCTTTTTCTTATGGTGTGCCAAAATTGTTTGTGTGCACATGCCCACACCAATTCAATTCTCCCCGCCTACCTGCACGCAACCGCCCACCTGCGCATATGACCCCTCCCCAGGCTCCAGAGGCTTTCCTGAAGCTTGGGGCCTCCCAAAATGGCCTCCCCCATACCCCTTGGAAGCCCTCCGGACACTGGAAATGGATCATTCCCGAACTGCCGGTTGGCTCTCCCCGGGCTTCAGGAAAGCCTCCGGAGGCTGGGGAGGATGGAAAACAGCCCCAATGAGCCAATTTGAAGTTCGGGAATATTTGCCGGCCGTGCTAGCAAATATGGCTCCACGTGCCACCTGTGGCATGTGTGCCATAGGTTCGCCATCATGGTCCTAAAATGTGAAGTCAAATGGGCTTTAGGAAGTCTGAGCAACAACAAAGCTAGTGGAGGTGACAATATTCCAGCTGAGCTATTCAAAATCTTGAAAGACGATGCAGTAAAAGTGCTACACTCAATTTGCCAGCAAATTTGGAAACTCAACAGTGGCCACAGGATCAGAAAAGGTCAGCTACATTCCAATTCCAAAGAAAGGCAATGCTAAAGAATGTTCAAACTATCGCATCATTACACTCATTTCACATGCTAGTAAAGTTATACTCAAAATCCTACAAGCTAGGCTCCAGCAGTATGTGGATCGAGAACTACCAAAGGTACAGGCAGGATTTCGAAGAGATAGAGGAACTAGAAATCAAATTGCCAACATACGCTGAATCATGGAGAAAGCTAGGGAGTTCCAGAAAAATATCCATTTCTGCTTCATTGACTATGTTAAAGCCTTTGATTGTGTGGATCACAACAAATTGTGGCAAGTTCTTAAAGAAATGGGAGTACCAGACCATCTTATCTGTCTCTTGAGAAACCTATATGTGGGTCAAGAAGGAACAGTGAGAACTGGACACGGAACCACTGATTGGTTCAAAATTGGGAAAGTAGTCCGGCAAGGCTGTATACTTATTTAACTTATATGCAGAGCACATCATGAGAAAGGTGGGGTTATATGAATCAAAAGTTGGAATTAAGATTTCCGGGAGAAATATCAGCAACCTTAGATATGCAGATGATATCACTCTAATGGCAGAAAGTGAAGAGGAACTAAAGAGCCTCCTGATGAAGGTGAAGAAGGAGAGTGCAAAAGTTGGCTTGAAACTCAACATTAAGAAAACCAAGATCATGGCATCAGGCCCTCTCAATTCCTGGCAAATAGATGGGGAAGAAATGGACAGATTTTATTTTCCTGGGCTCCAAGATCACTGCAGATGGGGACTGCAGACAAGAAATTAAAAGACGCTTGCTCCTGGGGAGGAAAGCTATGGCAAATCTAGACAGTATACTAAAAAGCAAAGACATCATCCTGCCAACAAAAGTGTGTATACTCAAGGCTATGCTTTTCCCAGTTGCAATGTATGGCTGTGAAAGTTGGATCATAAGAAAGGCTGAACACCAAAGAATTAAAGCCTTTGAACTATGGTGCTGGAGAAGACTCCTGCGAGTTCCTTGGACTGCAAGGTGACCAGTCAGTCTTAGAGGAGAGCAACCCTGACTGCTCTTTAGAAGGCCAGATCCTGAAGATGAAACTTAAATACTTTGGCCACCTAATGAGAAGGAAGGACTCACTGGAGATGAGCCTAATGCTGGGAAAGACAACAGAGAATGAGGTGGCTGGATGGAGTCACTGAAGCAGTAGGCGTAAGCTTAAATGGACTCCAGAGGATGGTAGAAGACAGGAAGACGTGAGGGAATATTGTCCCTGGAGTCGTGATGGATCGGATACGACTTCGCAACTAACAACAACAATGAAGTATAATGAAATTTGGAAATCATTTATAAAAATACAATATATTAGAAACATTATAGTTATAAAAATATACTAGAAATATATGCATGTTTGATGGTAATTACATTAGATAAGTATTGTAGAATTGTAATTATTTACCATTGAAATGATAGGTTTTACTTTTTTCTTTGTATTTTTTCACTTTTCTAAAAAGTACATTCTATGTCTTTTTCCTTTGACAATTTATGCATTTTTATCATAATTATCTTATGATAAAAATATGGTTTTTCCTTTTTGTCATTATTTCACTGTTTACAAGTTTCACTTAGGTTCATTTGTTTGAAAGATTTGATTTAAAGGCTTTATTTAAATCAATATCTAATGAATTTTCCACTTTTTCATAAACATTGTGCAGGACATCTGTATATCAAACAGCAATACACAAATACAGACTACTCATATAGTAAAGGCCAGTGGTACACCCAATTCATTTTACAGCTTCTTCTTATTTTTTATGAAGACCTATTGTGGACTTAATGATTTAATGGACATAAGGATAAATGAAACTCACCAGTATCAAGACGAGATGAAGCTGATGTAATTGAGGTTGAGTAGTAGAAAAGAAAGAGAAGACTCAATTTCTTAAGTCTATCATAACTGGGCTGCTAAATACTGGACAAAAACTACTCAATGGCAGGAAAGAATTATATCTTTCTGTATTTCCTTCTATCAAGAGTTCTCCACATCTCTATATTGCTAAAGTTAAACTATGGCAGTGCCCTAATGCTTGTATGTTTTAATGTAGTCTTTTCTTATTTTTATTTTTGCTTTTGGTTCTGCCTCATATATACTGCAAATAGAAAGGTTGGATATAGATAAAATTAAAATAAGTTAAAATGATGACTGAATTGAGAGGTTCGGGAGGAAGGCCCAAGCTATACAGTATGTGAAGTTCCTAAATACATTTACAGAAATTTTGTGCATTGTTATTTAAATGGTTCTCTGATCATATCTACCCCAAAGGGGTTAAAAAGAAATCTGAGCTACGAAATATTCTGCTCATACCTTTGGCTTGAAGTTGGAGTTCCCGTGGAAGAGGGATGTGATGGTGAACAGGAATGGCTCCCTGAAAAGGTGGTCTCTATTTCTCTTCTTATGACATGCTCAGCAGCAGGAACATTTTTAGATATATACTGGGAAAAAGACACGTTCATAGATATTAATCCCTTTTCACTTTTGGGGCTTCGTTGCACAAAGACTAAAGACCTAAGGAAGACATTAAAGCAGCCACCCCAAAGCCTTCACATTATCAGATTGCTTCACAGCTTCGTGGCATGAAGCAGCACTTAAACGATGAAATGTTTTTATGGGTCTCTTATTTGGTATGTTGTGATCCCTCTGCAGATAATGTTAAGACCCCAATCCAAGTGCAACTTTCTCACTGAGAGGCTGCACATTTTTCAATAGTTGAGGTTGATGCCTCTGGTACTCTAAAGCAGTGTTTCTCAACCTTGGCAACTTGAAGATGTCAGGACTTCAACTCCCAGAATTCCCCAGCCTGCATTCGCTGGCTGGGGAATCCTGGGAGTTGAAGTCCGGACATCTTCAAGTTGCCAAGGTTGAGAAACACTGCTCTAAAGGCCCACAAAATCCTCCTGCAAATGTATTTGTTCCCCCACCTCTGGTTATAATGGTACCGAATGGCAGAAGTTAGCTTGAGTTGTTTTTGGGAAAGGTAAGGAAAGAAAGAAAGAGAGGGTGGGGGAATGAAGAAGAGGAAGGGGAGAGTTGTAAACAGAGGATGGAAGGACGGGTCTAAAAAGGGTTCTGGTTCTGCCTTCTATGCTTTTTCAGGAGGCTTTAGACAGGGAATTAAGAAATGTTACTCACATCAACCATCTGAATTTCCTCAGGATCCAGCCGTGGATGGCTAGGGCCATTCGCTAGATTCCTGTTCTGATGTGCTGGACACATGTTTTGCCGCAAATGATTGTGCATCCGATTTCTCTGTTTTCTGAAGAATAAGTACATCGTAAGGTATTCATATTGGATCAGTGGACCAGTTTTACTCTGATGGACTATGTAATCCTGTCAAGTTGGGAACCCTAGATTGAATGGTTTGATTGGAAAATACATTTTGATGCTTTTCTACTTTTGGTCTTGATTTCCTAAATTTGGAGTTTCAGTTTTGATATAGAGAAATTCTTCATTCTGTAATTCACATATCACTCCTAATTTTCTGTTTAATAGTAATTTTTAATATCTTTGAACAATAAATATATGAAGAAAAAAATACTGAAAGAATAAAGGAAAAATAATAAAACCATAGAAAAATATATGATGTTGGATCTGAAATATATAATTATTTTCTAGCCATATTGATAAATTTAGCTGTATTAGAATTCTCTAAAGACGTTAATTTAAAATGTTCTTTTACTGTTAATAGTCCATAAACCTAGTGGCTCTATATTTTTGCAATATTGTTCAATATTATTTTAGCAGTTGTTAGAAAAAAAAATTCAATTCATAATTTTCACAAATAGCACAGTAATCTTCTAGTAGCTCATAGCCTGATTTTTAAAAAAATATTACATAATACAAAATTCCAGAATAATTTTGTAGGTATACATTACTAAAATTACAAAGAAATTCTGTTTAGAGTCTTGACATTTCCAATATTAAATTTATAATTTGTTATAATATATAATTTATATATAAGGTAATATTGCATCAAATATACTTTTGAAACTGCATTTTAGCTTGCTTTTAATTTATTAGCTGGTACAATGAAACACTATTTTGTTTGTTTATAAGTATATTCATATCTTGACTCTGTTTTTATTTATAAACATCATGTTTTCTTTTGTTTTCTATTGGAGTCATTTTATAACCATAGTTTACTAACATATTTAGTTAGAAAAGCTGAAATCTGCATTTCAAATTTAGTCATTTTTCACAGCTGTTTCTATTTAGGTAAAAGTTATATCACAATGATGTTATAGTTCTGAAAATACTGAAAGAAAAGATATATCTTATCAATGTGTATGCTTAATTCTCTATATGAAATCATATTTAATACAGAAAGAATGAAATGATGATCAGTCAGGTAACATAGGATTAAATTACACATTTCATGTATGAAATTAAGTAATTAGGAAATAACCAGCACTTAAAACTTTTTGAATCATACAGAAAATTTTAAAAGAACCTTAAATTTCTTTAAGTATATAAATTAATGGATGGAACAAAGTAAATCTAGATTTTTTTTCAGCCCCGAAAATAAGATTATTTTACTACATATAACATCTTTATATTAAGGACATGACATTGAACTTTAATTAGTTATGTCAATGAATTCATAACTTCGGTTGAGTTATTTTGTCAAATGAATCTTGCAATTATCTGTTACCAGTTATTGATAAGAAGGAAACTCATTGTTAAAAAGTTAAAATAATTTGGAAGAAAATTGTCATCATTGCAACCATTCTTAAGATCTTTGATAGGATGACAGAGTATCTGTCTTTTCTGTACGACTTATTAATTCATTTGTTAACTTTCATGGGAATTTTAAAACTGGATGATAAATATTTGTGCTTCTTATACTTCCACGGAATATTAATACCAATTTCCACTGAATATTAATAGCAAGAAATTATTCTTTAATTTCCTTAGAAGGTAATATTCATAGCCAATTGTTATGAGCATTTAAAATGTGTCCTAAACTATCTTTCTCCTCCTCTCTGCCTGTCTTTCTTACATATTTGTAAAATTTGGAATAACTGAAAAATGAGTGCAATTTTTTCCAAGAATGTTTGACCATCTAAAGGCTGTTTCTCAATGGGAACAGAGACTTGATTTGTTCCTTTGTTCTTAAACTTTTGGAAGTTGTTAAAAATGGAGCTATTCTAGAGGATTTTTGGAGGGCGATGATCTTAATTGTGCAAAACTGCGATTATGGGATTAATATTCCAATTGCTGTTTTCCTTAATTTGTTTTAGTCTAATGTTCATGTATTATAGGTTTTAATTTATATTATTATGACAGATGCACTGTATTTTGCAATTGGTAACTTCCAAGAGTCAAACTGATCTTTATATTTAATTGATAGGGGATTATGTAAGAATACAAAGGTGTTCTTTCTGATACAGGCTCTGTGGTGGTCATATCATTACTTCCGAGGTGGGAAAAAAAGTATTGTATAGATCCAAAGATCTTTCCCTTTTTAATCTGTTTTCTTCCCACATCTTGTGCAGTTTATTGATTTACTGTATTTGTACCCCGCCTTTTATTATTTTTTGCAAATAGCTCAAGGTGGTGGAAATATCCAATAGACCTTCTTCGTCTTATTTTTCTCACAAAAACAACCCTGTGAGGTGGGTTGAGCTGAGAGAGAGAGTGACTGGCCCAAAGTCACCCAGCAGGCTTTCATAACTAAGGCAGGACTTGAACTCATGGTCTCCTGCTTTCTAGCCTTAACCACTAGACTGTTGCTAAAATGGTGCATAATTTCCTTTTATTCCTTTTCTGATTTTTCCAAATACAACTGGCAATTTAATTTCAATGGGACTCTGTGATGTGTATTCTAACATATATATAATAAATTCCCAGGAAAACACATCACAGAGTCCCATTGAAAGAGCCGAGGTGGCACAGTGGTTAGGGTGCAGTACTGCAGGCCACTTCAGCTGACTGTTATCTGCAGTTCAGCGGTTCTAATCTCACCGGTTCAAGGTTGACTCAGCCTTCCATCCTTCCGAGGTGGGTGAAATGAGGACCCAGACTGTGGGGGTGATATGCTGACTCTGTAAACCGCTTAGAGAGGGCTGAAAGCCCTATGAAGCGGTATATAAGTCTAACTGCTATTGCTATTGCTATTGAAATTTAATTGCCTCTGTGTGTGTGTATAGATAGATAGATAGATAGATAGATAGATAGATAGATAGATAGATATAGATATAGATATAATGCCAGAAGCTTTCCTATAGCATGTTTATATGATATTTTCATTTATTGTAGGAGAAGAACAGGCAGAGCTAGGGGGCAGAGTTAAACACATCCACATTTTAGAGTCCTTGTGGACTAGAGATCCAAGTCCACCCCCCTTGAATTCCATTGACTATTATCTAGCACCAATTTAGTGCTGACCATTAGTTGATTAGATTCTTCTGTATAGGTTTCAATAAATCTTCTATGCTGCAACTTTACAAAGGATCCTGATTCTTTGTGCCTGACATTTACATAGACATTTTGATGTGTGTTTCCTTAACATACCGTTTTGTACACGTTTTGATTTGTGACCAGCTCTGTCAATTTTGAAAAAGTGTATATAATTGTTCTTCAAAGGATTTGACAAATTAGGAAGTTCAAAGAACTCACATCTGACTTAAAATGTGAATTAGATCTTTCTCAGATCTTGGTATTTTTAGGTTAATCAACATTGCAACTATAAAAATGATACAAAATTTAAGTTAATAGTATAAAGAAAAAGGCATATTTTTTAAAGCTCATAATCTCATAAACTACAATCTTCAATAACATTCAAAGAAGGAATCCTACTTTGTAGACACAATTTCAACATTCAGACCAGATACAACTGCTTTCTTTGTCACGTGTCTGCTTTATGGAACAGCCACCCAAGATATATGGATGGTCACAACCTGGCTCTGTTGGCCTTCAGGATTAAAGAGCTGGTTTTATCTCCAGGCACTGGGACCAGGAGATTGATGGAGTGGTTGATGGATGGATGTGACTTTTATTAGGGCTGTCGTTCTGTTTATTGTTATAACTTTTTAGTATACTGTGTTTTTATTTTGTTCACTTCACAGAGTTCCTTCTTGTAGATGCGCAACTGCATAAGTTTGTTTAATAAAATAAATAAATTGTTCCTTCTGAAAGCCTAAAAAAATTAGGCTATGAACTTAGAATTCCCACCAGAATAACATCTGTTTCAAACACTGTTTGGCAAGTCATGAAGATAATGATAATATCAATGATAATAAAGACAATCTATACATAGCATTATACTCCTCTTAAACTGTATTATTTCATTGGAACTTTTATAAATTGCATTGGAATGATTATAAATAAATTGTTACATTTCTTGTAATTTTACTTAATAATCCAATCATATTTACCAAATAATTTTACCGCTTATGTGTTGCTTATATTTCCAAAATATGTCAGTTCCACATGAAATATGAATATAAAATATGAGTTTATTTTTGTTAGCTGACAAATTTTCTGTTGCAAGATATTAAAAATCTAAAATTTAATTTTCTTTTATTCTTAAAGCACTCAGCAATTAAAGTAACTTTTAATCCATTTTAAATCATTTTAATCATAAACTTCCCCTTTTTGAGATTGTTTTTAAACTATGCTCATATATTTCCAAATTGTTTTAATTTCTTTCTTTTTTTCTTTTTTAGGTCTTTCCCTTCTTTTTCTTTTCTTTTATTGTGTTCATTGCATTAAATTTATTTTAAAATTAATAAATGAAATCACTCACTTGGTTTTACAGTAAGCTACTACACATACTATTCCCACCACAAGCAATGCAACACAAATCCCAGTAATGGTTAAAACTCTCTTCTGATACAGCTCCTCGGCTTCTGCAAAGGACATAAAAATAATTAACAATTAAACATTTTCTCAAATTATAATTGCATTCTGAAGATACAACTGCAACTTTCCATGGTGGAAATTGGAAGTTATCTACTTATTTTTCTGAGATAGAAGGTAGAGTTTTATATCTGTTTTAATATTGATGCTCTTCTTGACTCTATCCAAACCTTTCCTTTCTCTTCCAGTCCCAGTAAAACCAAAAACAAGAAAAATATACTCCGGCTCTTTTTTTATGAGCCCTCTCTTGTATGTTTTTCAGTAACCTCATACTCTATTGGGAATATTTTCTAGAACTTCTTAGAAGTATTCAATTGCTATTTCCTATGTATTTGGCTGAGATATTACAGAAAAATTACTGTATGTTGAACCACAATGAACATATTTGTTGAGATCCAATTTTGGTTGAAAGAGCAACCAAAAGACATTTTTCCTTTATTCTGCCCTCTCTGGGCTCAATTTAATGTACCCTATTTTTAATGCCACTTTCTGGCAGTACTGAGAAGTTTCAGAAGAAGAAACACAGAATCCATGCTCAAAACACAATGGAAGAGACTATACATCATTGCCTCTTTTAATATTTTTCTTTGCTGTTCAATCAAAGGAGAAAGGGAGGGGGATATGAAAATTCTCATGGCAGCCAATGTATTCCCAACATAGTAGAAGTGCATGCAGAATATATGGTATTAAAATATGCTTGTCTATTTTTGCCCTGAAGACAAGGGAGGAAAATATATTAGTGACTCTCCTAGTGAATGAGGTGAAGGAAACAAGTTAAGCTAATTAAAGTCATTGATGAGAAAGAATCCTTTATATCTTCTGGTTGTTTATAAAGTTTCTGCCAATTTTCTAGGTTATCAAACTCATTGTGATGGAATGTCTAACACAGTGTTTTTCAACCTTTTTTGTGCAAAGGCACACTTTTTTCATGAAAAAAATCATGAGGCACACCACCATTAGAAAATGTTAAAAAAAATTAACTCTGTACCTATATTGACTATATATAAAGTAATTTTCCCACGGCACACCTTACACTATGTCACGGCACACTAGTGTGCCGCGGCACAGTGGTTGAAAAACACTGGTCTAACAAACCCTGGGAATAAAGAGGGAGGACTGTTAGAGAAAACATTCCTTGGTCCAGAAGAGGGGAGAAGTATGAGAAAGAGCCTCAAAGTAACTCCATCTTAGTTATGTTATGTATAGGTTCTGGTTAATTGCTTTGGCAGGCTTTCAAGCTTCTGTTACATTAGTCTATTAGCAATAAAGATCATTCCAGAGTCCAAGTGGTTCTTGTTTCCCGAATTTGTTTGCCTCAAAGGGCTTGTTACTCAGTGACAATTAATTCCTTTACTGTCCCTAGATAATGGATAGCACTTTTTAGGAACTGACTATTTATGTATGGTTTGAAAATGATTTGGAAGAAGTACTTCGGATAATATACAACTACAAGAATTAGCCATTTTTTTGTGTTTCACTGAAACAGCCCCTCTTTATATCTAACTGCTCTCCAAGGCCAAAAAGAAAAATTAGTTTTAAAATAAATAAAAAAGCAAATAAATAAACATCAAAGTTCTAAATGAGAGCAACTGTTGAAATATATTTAACGGGTTGAAATTTCTACCTTATTCCTGCTCTGAGACTATGGGACCAGGTTACCTGTGACAATATGAACCAGATTTGTGCAATAATGTTTCCACTGGATAGCCCAGATGTTTATACTACAGATATAAACAGAAAGAACTGTTATGCTAGTTTCCTGGGTACAGATTTCAGATTTCATAGGTTACCTTGGTGCTAAGAAAAGATGCTTTTATTCTCCTACACCTTTTATTTGTTTACCTGTTTTAATCAGTACAGTTCCACAATTCAATATAAATCAATATAAAGAAATGGGACCTGGTTCCAAATATACAGTGTGAAGTGCTCCTCAACTTTTACTCATTTATAGAAAGGATTTTTGCACACACACAAACATACACACACACACACACACACATATACACACATATACATGCTGGTCTGGGGTTTTTCCCATGTAAGATTGAGATTATTTTGGCAACGTTTCGGCCGGTCTCACTCGCCATCTTCAGGCTGTACACAATATATACAATATATTATATATTTTGTGTTTCTCTATTATATATATATAATAGAGACATACATATACATGTATGTGTACATACATACATATACATATACATATACATATACATATACATATACATATACATATACATATACATATACATATACATATACATATACATAT